TATGCACGTTCTGCAGTCATAATCCCCAATACGATTGGATCACAATAATGATCCTTGAAGTCTTTCTACCCAGAGGCGTCGAGCAAAGTCCTGGAGAAGCGCATTTATATGCAATTAAATGATGTTGCCTTGATTAAGGAAATATTGAAAATTACTTCTGTTTCGCTTTTTAGAAAATAGAAATATTGTACATTTTGTTCTAAGATTATTAGATCAGATATTAGCTGTATCAGGGTCACTGGGCGTGAATTCATACGAGATGGCCATACATGCGACTAGTTCTTAAATGCACACATTCTCAAGGGGACTCTCAATTTTTTTCTTCATTATCCCGGATCAGTCTGCTCGCATGAGGGCTCTACCATTAAGTTAGCAAGGAAAATGATTCGTTGGGAGTAAACCATTACGGGCGAGCGGAATGTATTTAGGCTATACGGGTTGGTTGGTCTTTTAAACCCCTTCACGAACCTATTTAAAACCTGCTACCCAGTAATCACAGTGAATATAAATAGGCAACGTGGGTTGGATTCAGCTGGATGAGAAAGGGGCGTATGGTCTAGCTGTGTTCCGCTATAATTTGCTGAGGAATGGTTTTACAGCCAACGGAAATCTGATTCCACATGTTGAAAATGTTCGGTTCATTATGGACGAATAAGTGTGGCATTATTTTTCTATCCATCCTTTCCTCAACAGTACAAGGCATCGGTTGTGGCCAGTTAGAAGTTCTCTGGAAAAGTATACTACGAAATAAAGTTCATCGTTTCTACGGCAAAATGACAATCAAAATGCTAGATACCTCCCTTTTATGTATGTTCGTTGGTTGCCAGCTTGGTTCTTGTTAAGTCTGTTGAGGTTAGCATAGGCTAAAGTATGAATGCTCACTTAATAATCAGCACTTGGGAATGTACTGCAGGGAAATAAAGTTGTCTATATATCAACTCAGTAGACGACATTCTGCTTGTACGCTTAGGAACCGTTTACAGTATTTACTGCCAATACCATAATCGAAGGGGTTGATGCTTTCAGTTCGTATCGCCCTTACCCAGTAACTGAAATCGGATAATCAACTTGCCCTCTGAAGTTTGGGATTTTCACATAAATGGTCTTAATAGCAAAATTCCTAAATTTCTCCCTTATGAGAGAAACCTTCTGACAAAATGACGAGGATATGTAGGCTAGCAGTCGAGGCGTTGGAAGTCCACAAATAAATATTCGTTTATGGTGATTTCTTTGATTATTCTTCCATTAAGTCTCCTGATCCAGGCTTTAAGTGAAGGATGTTCCGTCCGGCAGACAGTCCGCTTCCTGTATGTTAGTTTTTACAGGAGAAATGCCGATTACGCAAGCGAACATCATGGTCTGGAAAGCGGTGCCCAGCAGTGCCTATCCTGTCATCTTCACTAGTCCCAGCCCGCCAAAGGTCAATTCCTGCCGATTCTAACCTTCTTCGCCAACTCGCAATGGCTCGTGTTGAGGCTACAGAGGACATAGAAAGATAGGGCTGCCACTTGTGTTTATGACCCCTTTGCAGGATTGGTGTTCAGGGAAGTGCCAAACAAGTGATAGGTAGTCACTAGGTGTATCGTAGAGACAGGCCACTTGGTCAAAACTGAACAAGCGCCAAGAGCAAATTCGTCATATCCACACGGTTGTTTGGCTGCAACAGCGCCAATTGCTTGACTAAAATCTCGTTCCCTCGACTTGAGGATACCCCGAGGCGCATAAAAAGAAAATGTAACTTATCGGCCCTCCATTCCCATTGTTTAGCTCTATCTCAAAACCTTACTCTCGCTAATGTGTAAATTTTTTTGACTAATGACGCATCGTACCATCATAGTTTTACCTCCTAAAAGTGCAGTGGGGCTAGCCATCTTGTTAACATCCATTGGAAGCTGGACAAGATTGGGCCTCAATGGAAGTAAAAGAAAAACTGATAACTACCATTAAGAGTTAATGTTATTTGTCATTATATCGACTTGAGCCCCAAAAAAGCAGTTAAATGGTGCTTTGCATTGACTCAGTGGGTTATAGAGCTTTAAAATAGGTCATTTCTGCATTCTTCCTCCACCCAGGTCTGAAATGCTCCCAAACCAGTGTCAATCTCGGCAACTTGGCCGTCTGTTCATCCTATTAGTTTAGTTCATATTCCGAATTTGTGATCCTCTCCTGATAAGGTAATTCACCCTCTTGCCGTATACTCGTTTCTTCTGTATACGAAGCCGCCTCTTCGGAGTTATCCTTTGTTGAGTCTGTCAGAAGAGGAGGCCAGCCTCTGCCGTGTAGGCATTCACTCAGGTTGATGCGACACAGGTACAAAATGTAGAGTAGTGTCTTTATTGTTGGAAAAAGAAGAATAATACATATTGATAGTAGTATTTTTTAAGGGCTTCAAATATTTTAATACTAACCACGAATAGAACTGATTAGTGATATCACAAAATATACTTATAATTCATGTTATAGCTAATTTACAAATTATCAGCCTTCACTTGTGCCTGCACTAATAAGTTAGTATCCACGCTTTATTCACAACTTTGATGTAACTGTGAAATTAGAATTTGCAGCACGGTCCACTTTTGCTCTGAAAGGCTGTTTAAGTTGATTTGAGGTCGGGTAGTTGGGTTTTTTCCCACGAGCAGGTGTGTAGAGCTCAAGATAGCATTGCATTTCACTTAGCCTTGCCTCCCAAAAGCTATATCATCCAGGTCTCGTCATCACCTTGGTCTCATCAGCATCCCTGGTAGGATTTTATATTGGTTTGTAAGTATTCTCACGAGGCTAGCCAATTCATATTTCTATAGTGAGATTGTTGAATAAGTAAGCACGGGCATGATGATGACGTTGCTTATTTTCGATATAAGTAGGCTTCGAGACTCGGGAACTCTTAGACACATTGGGCGAGTTAGAAACTGCAGTCCATACTATGAGATCAGCTTTTAGGAGGCAATATTGTGTGAAATTTAATAATACCATGAAGCCTGCTTATCTCGTTGTGCAAAAAAGCGCAACCATTTGTCACTACATTACCTTAAAAGACCTAGGCTGACTAAGTTCTTATCAACAGAACGCCTGAACCCTATCCTTACGTCCTTCCCCATTTCCCGTTTCACTCATAGGCTGTTTTCCCATAATATTTATTTTCATCCGTCTGCCTGATGGCTGTAGGCCTGGATCAGATGCTTCATTTTCCACTACGCGGAAGTCGAAATTCACTCAAATTTTAAGCTCTTTTGAAATTAAGAAAGCCTATGAATTTTTAATGCATGTCAACACTGGAAATAATCTGCTTCCCCCAATTTGTGAATCAAAGCAGACTGAATTTTTCAAAGGAATACTTAAGCAATTTTTGTATTAATATATAATGTGTATTCATCCTATTTCGTTTAAGGTGATAAGGAGACTGGTAGTTGTAATTTTTTCACAATGATATGAGTAGGCCTTACATTTCCACTGAATTTAACATGGCCTTGCTTTCCCAAGGGGTGCTCTCATCCAGGCTGGACTGTAGTTTCGACCTCGCCTAAGCCTAAGTCACAGGGTATATGTGAATTTCAAGGAAGGCCAGACATTTTCCCATATTACACTCTGATGAGATAGGCGATGAAGCAAAGTTGTATTTGCTATAGCAATCGATCACATTCAATGAAAACATAATGTCTACACATATCATTGCGGGAAAATTTAAACAGCTTAAATGAAATAGGGTGAATATATTTCATATATAAAGGACCTATTTATAAACAAAATATTTGTATGCGATGTACATCTCATATAACTGATTTACTGGTAGTCTCGAAACCCTACTTAAGAACAAAAAATAGCTAGTCGTCGATTGTCTTAGCAAATATAACCTTTCTTCATCGACAATCCCACCAAAAAATATGATATGGATACATGCCTAGCCTTCCTTGAAATTTACAGCCGCTCTGTGGTTTATGTGTCGAGATTATACGTTATTGTATCATCGTTCGACTTCCGCTAGGGGTGCTGATCAGACCTAGGCGAGGTCGAAACTTTAGTCCACCCTGGAATAGAACACCTTTTGCAAAATGCAATGGAAACGTCAGCTTTATTCATATCATTGTGGGGAAATTCAACTACCAGTCCTTCATCATCTTAAACGAAATAGGATGAATATATTTTAGATAACTGATTTAGTGTTAGTCTCGAAACCCTACTTAGTAACGAGAAAATATTTGCACTTGCCTCTTTTACACTTTGCATACACTGCCTCAGCAAGCGTCCCAAAGATGGATTAACTCAGGTCTCGAGGTCACTTATTTTCTGGCCTATTCACTTGCAGGCTTTCAACCTCGTAAGAGTATCTGAGACCCAGCACCGTTTCTTCAGCCTTACCAACATTCGAACTCTTTCCTGGCGTAAAGGTAGTTCCAGCTGTGAATGATACCGGCGAATCTGAAACACCTTTGACCTGTGCTAATGAGGCTTCCGAGCACTAATTGCATATTTCCTTGGTTCTTGGTTTATGCATAAGCAAGTCTTTACGAGCTGATCACTCATTTGATAGGAAATAGGAAGCCTTTTCTTGACTTATTTGTTCCTATTCATGATCTTGAACTTGGCTAGAGTGAATACATGTGATCCTGTAGGACAGTAAATAGTTTTTTTTGCGTGCATCCTGGCTCTCTAAGTTGCTTTGTTGTATAACCTTTTGGTGAGTATCTCGACCAATTAATAGAATCCGGAATGCTCAAGGTAAGACAATATCTCTGACGGCCGTAATTTTAATATAATGTAGATAGTGCTTCTGGACCAAAAAGCGATTACTTTTCCACTCGTCAACTCAGCCCGGACGGTTTACGGATCTCACAGTTATTTATCGGAAAATTTGGGATCATAATATCATGGTAACCATAATAATAACTTTGATTGAATTGTAGAATAAGTATTTGATTATGGAAGTAGAACTCAACCAAACTCCAACATAGACGCATATTGAATAGTTTACATTTGGAGGGGGCAGGATTGTTAAAAACAGATCAGTACCAACCGGACCTTACGTGTATCAGCAGACTGAGAATGATGACTAATTGGCAGGCGACGATGGCCATGATGGGTCTGGACCAATTGATTTGTTCATAGATGGTGCCCTTTCCACTTGGACCAGGGGCACCACTTGTCCAGAAGACAAAGGTGAAGACAGCATAGAGCAAATTGATACAGAGCGGGTAGATCACGTGAACTAAGCGTATCGGGATTGAGGATATCATGATGTCGATCAGTGTCACCACTGCCACCAAGACGTGTTTGAATGCTCCGATGACACCATATTCATCTGAAAGGAGATGCACGAATTTCAGGATGTAAAAGTCATGCCTTGACCGACTTCATCTATTTGGAGAGGCTGCCTCAGGTGAAGATTTGGTTTCGCCTGCAGAGTAATTCTCGTCTGATGAGATGATGAGGTAAGAATAAAACTTGTACTAAAGGGCAACCTGTTCGGATAGATGGACTGAGATGCGAAATTCTTCCAATAAGCTGCACGAGTTTTAGCTACCGTCCAGACCGATTTCCAGATCGAGTTCTTTTAACTTTGTTTGCAGCTGGACTCGACCTCATGACCTGAAAGCTTAGAGTCTTATCTAACAATGGGGGATAGCTTTAGCCAAATGAATGCGACTGCTGGACACAACTGATTTGATTCCCGCCACCTCTCTCTTGGTGGAAATCAGAGGATTTCCAATTTCATTTTTTATTCAAAGTGTCTGTTTAAAATGCATAGGATGCCTTGTTCCCCTGAGGCGCGTAGCAACAAACTGGTTTTGGTATTAAATCTGTTCTTGAACTGATGGATATTGTGTTGAGGGATGCGATTCGGCAAATACGCCTTAACATACGGATTGCGAATACAGGGTTTTGCATTAGGGCTTCCAGTAGGGCCTATGGATAGGTAATGTGTATGGTCTGATGCTATCGATAGCTCTCAATACAAAATTTTACGCATCCCAGATCACCTAAAGCGCTGTAAAAACTGATAATGGAATGAACAAACAATGACGTTTTGGTACCTCAACTTCGCTTAGCCTTACCTCCCAATAAGTTTTAGCATCCAGTTTCAACCTCGTCTCATGTCTTCATCAGCACCTCAACGGGATTCGAACCCGGGCCGCATGCATCGTGGTGACACATTACAACTCCTCTATTCAGTCGCGAGTACTACCAGATCACAGGACAGACATGACCCTCAAGGTCAGCCACTGCGATTGACAAAGCCATGAATATGTGTCAGTATAATAAACAGATTATGAATAGCAACTTTAGTCACCCCAGGTCGCTTAAGTTGATGAAAGGAATTGGCTAACAAGGAGTGTGGTTTAAAGAGCCCTAATTTGTCCTGAAAATCACATCTGCCCGATTACCTGTTGGCACCCGTGGCTATGGCGTAATGCATTATTGATGGAGGTGCTGATGAGACAAAGGCGAGGTCGAAACTGCAGTCCAGTCCACTCTGAATAAGAAAATTTTTGGCTAGATAAAGTTAAGAGAAATCCAAGATCATCATGGGACTATTCCCTTCAAGGTTAAAGATTCTATCATCATCAGTATTTACGGTTGAGCATTAAAATCGTGTTTTAGATCCGGTTACTCACTTTCGGCATGACAACTTCCCCTTTGAAAGCTAATTTAAGATAAACGGTCATTTCAACCACAGTGACGTTCATCTTTCGCCAAGATGAACTGACTACTTATGTTTATTTAATCGTCCTATAGGTTAATATTCTGCAAAGTTCATTTAGGTACATTTTTCTGATTTAGTCTAGCAGGGTTTTGGCAACCCCGACTATGATATTTTGAGAAGAAACCGGCCTTGTTATGATGCGACCCCTCATGAATATTTTTCATTTCTCCATGACGAAGTTTTAGTAAACAATAAGGAAAGGTTAAGTTACTGCAATGGGGTATTGTAATGGACAGAAGAGATGGATGTTAAGATGACAAAACTTTGAAGCCTTCAACAAGTGGTTTGCTGTCAAAAGCGATAAAAGTCTCTTTAATTGTGTGAACCAGCAGGCCTTTATAGAGTCCATCCGCCATAACGATGCCAACATTTTGGCATAATTATTATGTTTAAAAATACTGTACGCCTTGACTGCACCATATCAGCAACCTTCTCAATTATTCTCCACTTAGTCCAGCGCTGAAGGGACCAATACTTATTTTCTCGAAGTTACTATCTACATTTTGATAAACGTAATGAAATACAAAACACAGAAAGCCATTGAGAGTACATTTTTGTCTTTTATGCTGCAGTCAGTGCCTAATCGGGTGAGCGAGAAACTGGCTTTGATTAGAGTCATCTTTCAAGCTGTGATGGCTCTAAAAGGAAAATCGTTTTTAGGCATATTTTACTAGTCATACTCTGAGCAGCCGAGAAGAAACCGTGGATAATATTCTGTTTATTCATTTTCCATTGAATCAGCTAGAGACGCATGTCATGCTAACATGACATCTATTTCTACGACTTGGTCGCATCCATTTAGAACCACTTGGCCGCTTTTCATATTTGTGAGAACAATACAAATATTTTAGATCTGCCAGAGTTTTTTCATCATTTTGTCGGCATTTGCTGAGGCTATACTGTTGGAAAGATTGAGACTATGCCTCCGTATTTTTAGACTTAGCACCTCATTGTCTCTCGTGCTTCATGCATCCAGTTTCATGTCGTGTTTCATTGAGGGTATATTGCCACTGAACCCTTTGACCTAAGTTTTGATGGTGATTAGCAGGGACCTAATG